CCGCAGCCGGTGGCGACGAGCCGGGGCCGCTCCGCCCCGCGCCCTTCGCCACCCTCCAGCTGCCCGGCCTCTTACCTTCGGCGGGGGAGGCGGCCGCCAGGCGCCTCGGGGTGCTGGTTGGCTCGGGCTGCTCCAGCCGCCGTCTCACGCCGTCCTGGGCCAGCTGCAGGTGGGGCGCATGGAAAGGGTTGGCCCGGGCGAGCGGCGCGAGGGACGAGAACATGGCGACCTGGAGGAGGGAGGGAACAGCGGGTGAGCGAGGCCGGCAGGAGGCATCGCCCTTCAGCCCGGCGGGACAAACGGCGCCGGCTGTGGTGAAGGAGGGGGTGGGGGAGGCCACCGTGCCGCCCGGCTCCTCACCTCCTAAGATGGCTCCAGCCGCTCCGCCCGCAACTCTGCTCAGAGGCCAGGGAGCGCCCCCACTCACTCACTTTGTCCTTCGCCGGCGCAGCAGGCGGGGTGACCGGCCAACAAGCAGCTACGCGATTGGTGGAGAAGCCCCGCGGACAGGCGTTCCCGCTCTGACGTCACGGAGAGGAAAGGGCTTCCTCCTTCTGCGCCTGCGCGCTCCTCCCCCCACCCCCGAGGCGCTGGGGGGAGGGGAGAGACTGTCAGTGACTCCCTTTGGTACAAGGGCAGGCGGAGGCGCCTGGCTCTGGAGCGGGCCTGCTGCCCCACTCGGCCTCATTCTTAAACAAGTTGGTCTATAGAAATCATATTTCCCAAACCAGTTTTTGGGTTGCTGGCCAAAGTAGCCCGTATTCATGTAGACTCCTTTGAACACGGATTGTTCTCAGAGTTAGGTTTTGTGGACCTCCGTGGCCTGATACTGTTTAGTACCCCAATCCCAAACTGAAACATAAAAGGAAAATCACACCTGACAGTTGAAAAAATCGTAAGTGTCTAGCCTTTGCAATAACAACCTTGAAAATATTACACGATATAAAATTAATATTTTCCAAAATTGGTTTCTTGATTTACCTTGAGAAGGTTGTTCCCCTCCTGGATATGGAAATGCTACAGTAATAGATAACCTTGGTTTCTGTGGAAGAGCTGAGGTACACAGCTACGGCCAAACTAATAGCGATGGTACTAGCACTGGCACAAGTTTCTGAACAATCAGCTGCCTGCAAATTAAACATTTCCTAGGACTTGAAGTATAGGTACTGGTAAATTTAAGTGGTGTAGCTACAAAGACTGGAAGGCTGGGGAGAAGCTTATGTTCTGTTACTCAACAACAATTTTGTAACCATTTATTACATAAAGGGATTGCTAAGTACCTTGAATCTACAGGGGTTCTTGAACACCAACATTACCTGTAACCTCAAACAAGGGCGTCTCACTAGCCTCAGTACTATAAGAGGCAATGTGGTCTAATGAGCTAAACCTATTGAAGCCAACCGTTTTGGCACGTGCCACAAATTAGCTCTGCATTGGCCCCAAGTGTCACTCTGAACCCCTTCTTCTGCCTGTTCTGCTACTCTGCTCCTAGCCTTGTGCTCCCTGACCAGTTTGCCACTTTGCTTTTTTCTTCCTGCTGTATTTGCCACTCTGCTGCCTGTCCCCTTTCCAATCTGCCATGTGACACACACACACACACACACACACACACACACACACACACACACACACACACACACACACACACACGCTGCACTTGCCACTAGCAGCACCCATGCTGCACTTTGGTCACCCTGGATGAAACAGAAGACCAAAAACAAAGACCTGGTCCTAGCTCTCCCACAGTCCCTTAACAAGCCACATATATCAGACTTTTCAAATAAGGGCACACAAAGTTGGGCAGGGAGGTGCAGAGTTGGAAGTATGGGGTGTATACCATAGAATAGTCTCATTTATGCTCACCCAAAGCTCCAGGCCAGACATATATATCATGGTTCGATCAGGGGATAAAAATTCTGCGTGACTGAGAACTGTGTGCTTGCAGGAGTGAAGGTTGGAGTGTTGTGGGAAAAGATAACTTTTGTAAATATTATCATTTTACATACATTTATGCATCACAGGGACTCTCTGGCATCATATGTAAAGAGATAGTGTGTGACAAAGTTGGTGGAAACCCTAACTATTCCTTGGCATGGAGGGGTCAGCATGTCAGACATAAAAGCAATAATACAGCTTTATTGCAAGTGCATAGATCCCTTCATCAGGATCTCCAAATTAAAGTCCCTTCATTTAATGGGTTTCAGTGAAACTACAACCAAGTTACCTGAGCTGTGCCTTAGAACTTGACTCTTGACATTGTATTTAATGCACAAAGTTCAATCAGGTAAGTTCACACTATATTACATGATCAAGATATCATACATGTAACAGCCTTGCTGAAACCATGTGGCAATGCCAAGCCTGTCATGAGTAAATCAGATTTGGCAGGCTTTCAGACACGGAGAATGTCAGCTGAAAGAGGTGCATTTTTTACGTAGTTCAGCAAGGTATGGCAGGATAAGAGGCTGCATCACATTTCAGATAGCAAGGTTTAAAATAGATCAGGCTGTTTTGTTTCTCAGTACATAATACAGTAATGTCTAACCTAATCTTTGTTCTGTTTTATTCTCTTGAAGTTAAAGTACTCTGGAAAGGTTTTATCCAAAAGTTGATGCTTTTACTCATATACCCCAGAAGTTGTCTAATAATTCCTAACTATGCCTCATGCAAAAGCTGCAATTATAAACTGAACCATAAAAGACATTTTGTAGCAATCATAACATTTTCTTCTGACTTGTGTTTTAATTTAAAAAAAAATCATTTTGCCCCTCTGGCTCATGGTAATACCTTTGTATATGTAGAAAGGTACCATAAGTACATAAGGAAAAACTTCTTTACTGGCTGAGCCCCCAAGGCCTGGAACAGACTCCCCCCAGAGGTGGTGCAAGGACCTACTTTGGACTCTTTTAAGAAATGTTTAGATGCTTATCTTGCTGGGAACCTTTGACCCTAGCTGACTTCCTGCCCCTGGGGCAGGGCCCTGGACCTGATGATCTTCCAAGGTCCCTTTCAGCCCTAATGTCTATGAAATCTAATTGATTATAGAGGAGTAGAGAATGTGCAATTTGTGAAATCCAAAGCAAAAAAAAGTATCAGCATATATGTTAGAAATAAATTACCAATTTTGCTGAACTTGATAGAGTGCCCTTAATTTTTTTTATACTAAACTTTCACAGTTTTGGGTTAAAAAAAAAAATAAAAAGAGGTGGTTGGATACGGACATACCAAGAAAAAGAGTAGCTTTGGCATCCTAGGAAATGGGACTATAAATGGAGCCAGGCTGAGGGAGAGGTTGGAAAGTGTCAAAAAGAGTAAAGAGTAAGATTTTTTTTTTTTTTTTTTTTTTTTTTTTTTTTTTTTTTTACTCAGGAGGATACTATAGCAAAGATTCTTACTCAAAAACAGTAAAGGAGTCAGACTTTTTAAAAAGAAAATTAATACTTGTGGTTATGTTTGTAAGACAAATAAATATACCTATTACACTTACCACCTTTTTGTACAAGTGACATCCAAGGCCCACAGGAAAAACCATATCTGAACTCCAAGTGTACAAGTGAAGGTGGGAAGAGGGCAAGAACAGCTTCAAAAGCATGTTAACTTTACACATCTTCGCAGAATCAGGCTCTCAGGTCAGCATCAGATAAAATTATGAACTACTATTAAAGCCCGAAATTATAAGTCCTGCCTTTCTACAGTACTGAATAGACAGTTCAGTAATTAATCTGCATGTATGAGAGACCATTTTCTTTGCTATTTTGATGTCTCTGGATTTTTCTAAACTATTTACTATTTGAGATTAAGAATTGAGATTATGTTTAAGCAATCCTGGTGGAAGGAGGAGCAATCATACATAGCTCAGGACAGCCACTCTCAAATTGTAGTCAACAAAAGCCAATGATCAAGCAGATGAAAAGACAGCCAATGCTGGCTTTCTTTTTTCTATTTTGGAGAAAGGGACTAGTTTGGAGTAGACCAATCGGTTGCAAGCAGTGCAAAACACCTGTCACCCTCTATGGTCTTCCATATTAACTTCCCCCCACTAGTTTAAAGTGATGGTTGTAGTTAATACAAGTGGAGGGAGGTGTGGGAATGTTTAGATGGTGCATCCACTGAAAGTTTGAGCTCCAGAGTGAAGAATCACAAGAGTACAAAGCAGTACTCCAGACCTCACAGGGTAGGACTGGGTGCATTTAGTCATCATGAAATTAAATACACATTCTTTACTTCACAGGAATGAGCTTTTACCTGAAACTCTGACACACAACTGTCCTGCTGAGCTCATTAAATAAGTGCTTTGTTGTACTAATATTAAATTGCAATGACTCCCAAGATTCTCAGAAATAAGTCACATATATATTCAAGCTGCCATGTAATAAAAAAAGAAAGGGTAATAACACTAACATTAGGAGAATACTAGACCTTTTATGATTTTTGTAAAGTTTACTCAGTTCCTTAGGATCTGCTGACTTGATTTTCATTTGGTTTGTTTTGATTTAGCTAAACTAGTAGAAATGCAAGATAGTATTTTAAAAAGGGAAAATGATAAAGACTGTTGATTACAATGCATCCCACCAGAAATAAACTCCAGCACAGTAAGCTCTGGGGTCAGGCCCAGGCTCCGAGTAGCAGCATCAGGAGGCGGAGGGGCTGCCCAGGGCACGAGTGCTGAAACTGTGGGGCCCTGTGGCTAACTCCTCTGAGCCTGCTGCCACCCTGTGGCTGCTCCACCCTGACTCAGACCACTGCAGTCTCAATCACTGCCCCTAACAGTACACTTAAGACAGAGTTAATTTACTGAGTCCTAATACTGACACGTGTAGACAGTGATGCTTTACTGTGGAGCCAATTAGTCAACTCCACTTTAAAGTGCATGTGCAGACGCATCTACTGTTATATATTCTACTCAACACTATTACAAATATTCTTAAATAATGGTTAATTTTCACTAATCCCAGTTTTCAAGTGCATGTACAAATCCTGAAATTTTCACTTCATGTTAAAATCTGGAAACATCAAGCAAACATACTGCCTGCTAAACTACAATATATGCCCATATGCTTATCATCAATTGTCCAATTGGTAACTTGTGGGCCTCAGCATGCAAAGGGTTAAGCTGCGGCTCCTACTCAACTGCTGCTCTCCCCCCAGCTCCTGCTGCAATAGCAGCTAGAGCTATTGGCTCTCCACCACCCCTTCCAGCTTCCTCTGCCAGCCCATGTCCCAGGGTAAAGGGCAGGGCAGGGCAGAGCGCTAAGGGAGCTAGCCCATGGCCATGGCACTGAAGTGGGTCCACCCACATGTGCAGTGCAGAGAAGGGGGCAGCCCACCCATGCATGTGATACAGCTGCAAGGGGGGAGAGGGAAAGCCACCTGTGCATGCAGTGCAGCAGGAGGTGCCCCAGAGGCTCTCGCTCACATTAGCCAGGGGCCCCCAGCCAGTTAGAAGTTGGACAGCCCT